TACCAATTTAAGCAGAGTGATAGAATGAAGATTACTTTGGACAAACACATGAGCAGGCCCTGTTTTTGTGTCATCAAATCAATTATCTGATTTGTTTTTTATTTATACCTGCAGCCCTGATGGGTTCAAGCATCTTTTTATTTCCTTTTTCATTCCCCACTCTTCCATCTACCAATTTGTGTCTGCATTTCCTCCATCCTCTTGCACCCCTCCTCCTCTGGACAACAGCTCTGCTGCACTTTTTATTTTTCATCTTTTATGCTAGCAGCTCACTGTTCCACTACAGGCTGTAATGTGTTTCAAATATCAGAGCGATTTTTCATCCATACCGAAGAGAATTCTACCGGCCCAGCTCTGCGGCAATAAAATGAAGTTGAACCTGACCTTGTGCTTCAGAGAAAGACAGAACTAGTAAGAAAAAGCGAGCTAGATTAACTTACCAGTCACAGCTTTTTCACTTTTTTAAGAAAGGAAAAAAAAAAGATTTTTGTTTTTGAGCAGCATGAGTGTATCCAGCTCTTAACCTTTAATGCTGAAAGGTTTACAGAGAATTTTATTTGCATTTTGAAACACTGTGTAGTTCAGAAACAGCCATGAAGATAGTTTCTTCATGTTATGTAAATTTGTTGCCGTTGCAAAGTACGTATAATGTTTGACAGGTGTAAGGTTGTTCGATTTGACAGCAAATATGGTTATTAAGTGTTAAGTCTGTTGCATTGTTGCTTATTTACCCTCAATGTAGTTGTATAGAACAGTGACTTTCTTGCTTAACACAGCATTAAGCTTGTTACCGCTTTTATTCAAGTATGTAGATGATAATGACTCTTCCAGATGTAATTACTGCGTGTGTGTGTGTGCAGGGTCTATAGATGATGTCTTCCTCTGTAAGGACAGACATTCACTCGCTACTGTAATGAAGTCATTTCTTTAGTATGATTGGATATAACAGTGATTGCCAGTTGGCGGTATTAATGATCTCAGTAAATTATATGGAATTAAATTGACTCACTTCTAATTGGCCGGCAGCTTTCCATTAAAATCTATTATATATTCACATAGTTTTGATCAACAGTTTAACTGTTATTTTTGTACATCAGGACATATTGTCCTGTATTATTGCTTACGTGGCACAGTACATAAAAGAGGATTCTCAAATATTCAACAAAAATAAAACTGATAAAGAATATAGAAATACGGGTAGACAGACAGGTGTCCCTGCTGTGTGGAAGGAGTTAAGAGTAACACAGTGATACTCTGAGTTGAAGTCATCCATAACTGAGTCTTAATAAAGTCACAGGGTGGGAGGAGGGGACTTTATATATAACACACTGCCAAGCATGAAGGACTGCATTAACATACACACTCACTGACAGTGTGAACGGCCTTCATACACACACACACACACACACACACACACACACAAAAAAAAAAAAACCTCCCGACACTCATTTCTCTCTCTCTCAATCAATGCCTCCTTCTTCAAACACACACAAGCCGCACACACTCAGTGCTCTCCATATGTCTCTAAGTTGCACACACTCACGCATACACCCTTGCGACTGTGAGGTCAATAAATCTCCCCATTAGCATTGAGATGTCTTCATCATAGTCAGTGTTGTGGAGCTGCCGCTATGACTCCATTTCATGCCTGGCTTAATGCATATTTGACCTTGGTGCGACTTAACACACGCACACACACACACTCACACACACACAGAAACCCTAGTGAAACATAGGCATGCAAACGCACACACTTGTTAGTGCAGGAGCGCACACACACACACATATCCATGTATATATGAACTTACATATTTGCATTCAAACACACACCTGTGACCTTGGAGGAAGCTGCAAGGAGCCCTGGGACTTTTTTTCAGACAGAAGTCTTTGTGTCTGTACATGTCTATGATGGCTATACAGTATGTGTGGACCCTGTGGTCTGTGGTTTGTGATTTTATTTGAGGGGTATTTTTGTATGATTCTGTGTATTATTGTTCAGGAATATATATATATATTATGATACTGTCACTGGACCACAACCAGTAACTAAGATACAGTACAAACACTTAATGAATTAAGTATAATTACAGGAGAAAGTGTAAAAAAGGGGGCTACGGAGGAGCAATTAAAAGAGGGGTAAGAAGAGAAATAGGGAAGAAAAAGAAAAGAGGGAAAGAAGGGCGAGCAGAGGCCTCCTGCTGGTATTCATATAGTGTATTTGAAAATGTCAGTGAGTTTGAAAAATGCTTTTGGGAGGTTAGGAAACAACAGGCAAGTTTACAGACAAGTAGTTTTCAGCTCAGCCCCTTTTTAGAGAAACAACATAAACTAAACATGGAACAAGTCATGGACACAGTATAACTTAGTAAGTCATCAGGGAACTCCATTTGTTCATGTTTAATTTGTTTGCTGCAATATTAGCTCCTGCAAGCATTGATGTTTTTATGGTTTATGGTTCCTTTAGATTTCAGTCCAGGTTGATTTGGCGACAGCTACTGGTGGTAACAGCAAATGCGGTTTAATACTACTAGTCACCTAATTCAGAGGGCAGAAAAACCAAAATGTCATTTTAATAAAGAAGGCAGGCAATGATTCCATCAATCTATTAGCGACTGTGATCTGATTTTATGCTGCACACGGCATGAGTCTGCCAACAGCAGGGCACAGTGAAAGGACCTGGCTGAGAAGTTGGAGGTGTGCAGCATGTAGCCTGCAGCTCTTCATCTAACAGCTCTCTGTGTCTGCTCCTTCTTGTTCCAGGAATATTTTAAAGTAATCCACTGTCAGAAAATGCTGAAAATGATCATTGTCTTGTTCTGTAAAGGCATTTTTGATTAATGATGGTAGACAGTGTCAACTCACTTGCAAAGAAATTGCATATATTGGAACTACGTCATAATAAAAGTCAGCTTGTGTTTTACCAGTTAAATGCTTTTAATGTGAAGCTGCAGTACTAGGACATGTTTGGTTTGCATTAGTAGTAACTTAATAAAGCATTTTTCCCAGACATTAAGTAACCCAGATCACATAGCACACAAACACTATCTACCAATCATTCACCTCCGATCTCTTCCTTATGACTTGGATGTGTGGATGTCCCACTTCCGGATTGAATCTAGGCAGCAAAGATATTTCTGTATCTATATACAGTATATCTATACATCTAAAACATATTTGATAGAGCAAATTTGTAGAAGGCAATTGGGTTGCATTGGGAATACAAAGAAGACTTTATACACATTTATGTGATAAGATGAGTCAATTCTCAACTGAACCATTTTGAAGAGAGTTTGAAGGAGGAATGTAAAGTACAAGCTGGTTCTGTTTCAGTGAGCAGGTAGTTTGTGTTTGTCCTGACCTCTCCCCACCCCTCCTTTTTCCCTCAACTCTTTACTCCTGTCTTTCTTTCACCTTTCCCCCTCATCTGTCTCCTGTCACATCTCTCCTCTAAACTCTCCTCCTTTGTCCCCTTTCTTTTCTTTTATTGCCTCCTCTTTTCTTTGTTTCCTTATCTTCCGTGTCTCACTGCATCCTTTCTTGACTTTCTTTTCTCCTCCCTTTATTTTGCCTGGTATTTCCTCTGTCCTTTCACTGTTCTTCTGATTTCTTCTTTATACTTCCCATCTGTTCTTGTGTGTTCTCTCTCTCTCCTTCCCTCCTCTCCCCTTTATCTAGTCCTCTCCTTTCATCTCACTTCTTCTCTCTGTCTTTTACTCTGTTATTAATTCCTCCTCTCACACAACAGGACTTGCCAGCTATTTTTAATTAATCAGTGTAACACCAATTAGATCTACTTGTCTGTTTTGTCATCCCTTTTCCTTTCTCTTGACCACACACAAACACAGAACACAGACATTCACACACACACACATCCAGAACACAGACATTCACACACACACATACACACACGCCAGAGTAGCTGCAGAGTGACCCATGTGGCTGGCTCATTCTTCATTCGTTTAGGGAAGCCAGTGTTTAGATTGGCTTATGGAGAAGCCACTTTAGGCCACTAATGAATCCACAGCCGTCATTAACATGCAAATAGCTCCATTAAGAAAACATAGAGTCATGCAGTTTTATATTACAAGCCCTTTTCCTTCTGAGACACACATACACACTCCCTCACTTCAGCGAGTGTACTTGCTGGTTGTCAGAGGCCATATTGCCACAGCACCGAACAAAAGGGCATTTTATTTATTAAACCCACAATGAGAAGAATAAAACATTTGAGATTTCTCAACTATCTAATAATATATTACCAAAATAGACTTCTTCCAACTATTGAAAACTCATTTATTTCCCTTCCTCCTCAGTCATTTAATGCTATTTCTTCACCTTTTCTTTTACTTTTGTTTTGTCTTCTCCTATTTCCTCCTTCTCTCAATCCATGTGTTTCAGGCACATCACACTTTAGATTTGCCCCAAATATAATTACAACTTTACATGAGATAATACGTGATGGAAACAAATAAAACTTAACCCATAAGTAATCATATTCTTATTCTTTCTCTTACAAGTGGATGCATCATCTGTGTATACTGTCACCCACTTTCACAAGCTTCCACCACAAAAATAACCCTTCAAAACTAAAAATGCTTTCCTTTTTTTGGGTCCTCTGGTGCAGCTTTTGACATGTGACATTTCTTCATCAGTCCCCCTGTCCCCTGAAACCTCCATCTACCCCTCCATCTGTCCTGACTAATAGAGCCCATACACTCATCCAATCAATCTGTCCATTCGTTAATTGGAGGAGAGATATTCTAATTAACTGTCCTAACGGCATGCCCACCAATCACGGCTCAGGGTGTTAAGTGACTCATTCAACTCACCGCTTCTCTTTGGCGTCCAAGCTTCTCTCAGTGTGTCCATACAGTGCACAGTGTGTGCACAGTGCACATGTGTACGAGTGTGCACGTAGGATGAGTTGGTGGGCCTGTCATAGAGGGGAGGCATGTTGTCATGGTAACATATTCCTTCTTTTTCTCTCCCTCCATTTACAGACAGCAGCCAGCCGTCACTCGCCCAGCCCTCTCTGACCCTGCAGAGTTTTCCCTATGGAGGCTGTGAGTCTGTGGAGCTCTCCTACCAGAGTGGTATGTGCACACAACTTGAGTAGTTCAGCAACTTTGATAGCTTGTGAATTACTGGTCGAGGCAGACGACCACCCACGTAGAG